TTGCAAATGACAAACTGCACGGCCGTTCTTGGTAGAAAATTCTGGAGAGGTAAAACAAGAGACGTACATGAACCGAGGAGAAGGTAGGTAGAGGTCAAGGCATAGAGCAAAACCTTGGTTATATCATCAAAGTCTTCTTTCACACGTTTTAAAACGCAAAGGGTGAATAGATTCCCCAGCACACAAAGCGGTGCCTGTGCTATAAGTGCGCCTTGAGACCACGCAATCAACAGAGGAGAATATGCAATCCAATATGATTGTGTTGGGGCAAGATCTGATGGAACGTCTTCAGAAAGATTACTAGCCATGGTCGTCAAACGGGATGAACTGTGTTGAGCAAGAGGAATTGTTGGAGCAGGTAAATGATGGTCCTTTTAAGCTCTTAATAATCGAAATGCTCGTTCGACTGAACCAACAAATGGGCATAGAATGCTTTAGTCTTTGGCTCACAATCACTGCTCCTTAAATGACTCGTTTTCACGGAGAGTCAATGTAAGAGAAACTCGGTCGTCTGCAAGTCGCAATGGAGCGCAAGGCCACTCGATGTACCAGTAATCATCTACCTGTGATTGATGTTTTGAGCCAAAGCCATTACGGATCATCAATTGCATTTTGGTAGATTTAATTAAAGTTGGTCGATCAAAGCCATAATGATTATGAAAGTGCCAATCATTTTAGCTGACATGATGTATCCAGCAGGCTTTATTGCAAACACGTTTTAAGTTAAATGTAGTACATGTAACGTGTCTTTACTCGGTAAATGAAAATATGAAAACTGTCGAATTTTAAAGGAAGCGGGGATCATTAAAAAAAAAAAGGTGATATTTGTCCGATCAATCACTATAAAATATCCATTATAACAATTCATAATCCGTCATTTTATCAAGGCGTTGGAAATGTTAAAATTAAATTACCTAATGGTGCTTAATATTATCACAAAGCGGGTGGCATCTAAACTACTAGTAGTTGTGACAAGGCGTTGTGGCGTGTGCCTGTAATCCAGCTAACAGTGGAAGTTACAAATTGAAAGTTACAAAGTGATTCAGGCGAGGACGCAGGTTCAAAACTGAATCACGTCTTTCGGATGGTGACGTTTAAAGATCGGTCCCCAGACGTAAATAATCATATCTGATTGATACACGTCTGTAAAACCCCAATATACACACAAACACACACACCACCCCACGTACGCGCGCACACACACACACATTTACTGTGCCTTTCAAATCGCACCTATATTCAACTGTTATACATATTTGCCCCGTAAATCATGGGTACCTTAAATGTACCATGTCCCTTTTGCAGCCTACATCAAATTATGTAAAACTTTGTAGCCGGGAGTTCTGAATATGTCATGTAAGTCCTATCTGTAAAATGTAAACATTAGCAGTGTCCTAGTATTCAGACTACAGAAGGAAACCCGTTTACCTTTTAGACTTCACTGCCAGACACTATTGGATGACTGACTGACATCTTTCTTCTTTGCGGGTAATAGCATACATAAACTGAGCTGTAACAGTTACATGAGCATTTGTCTACATCAATAACTCAGTACGTGTATATGGTTAAAGTTAAACTTATTGAATCTTTATGCAGCACTCAATGTGCGACCATCCAGTAAAAGGGTCTGAAAATCAGACTATTACTTAGGTGATTGCAATCACTTAAGTCGATTCGACAACTAATGGTCGTTATTTTCCCACAAAAAGCCATTTTCAAGCCCTTTCGTTTCGGTTCTTTCAAATACCGTTGGAATTAAACCTTGTCATTTATTTTGGCCTGTAAATGGGACATAGTACCTTTAATCACCTTCATGCTATTGAAGGCAACAAAATTTAGGATATGAAATCGACTTATTCAATATAACTTAGATTTGTACCGAGTAAACGGAGAAAAGATATTCCTTGTTAGCTACGCTGTCAAATTCAAATAGACAAACGGGCCATCCCCATCGCCCTAGAACGATGACACGAAATTGTTAAAATTATTATTATTGTTAGTAGTAGTAGTAGTATGAGTAGTAGTAGTAGTAGTAGTAGTAGTAGTAGTAGTAGTAGTAGTAGTAGTAGTATTCGGCAAAGACAACATCGAACAAACGTTGAATATTATACGATAAAGTGTGAAGTGAGTCTCATGGATGCCGGGAAAAGAAAAGAAAAACATTGACTAAATAACTGTAAACAGAAGGTCTGCTATTTACATCCAAGTTTCTTTACATGAAAAAGCACACAAATGCACGATGCAAAGACTTATAAATTGCAATTATAATATAAATAGATATTGCCGCTCTGTGTAGACGTATTGTAGTAAGGCACCAGGGGAACAAAATATATTGTACACATAAACCGAGGATTGTATGTACGCAGGAACCTGAAGAGGGCGCTGTGCAACTAGCGTAAACAATGGCTACAACTAAAACGAATCCTCAATGTTTCAGATTGTAATGAACTGCAGAAATGTTCAAAAGTGATTGAAAAATGCATACCATACAACTGAGATACCAATTTGTCCTCCCTACGAGCGGTGTAAATACTACTACATAACACCTACAATAACAAAAAAAATCATGTAATTTCATGTAATTTGACGCTATTTAAAAGATATGAATAAGGAATAAAATCATATACCCTGTCATGATTAAAAAATATAACATTGGTATGTCGACATATTGCAGAAATGGAGAACCAAAGATTGATAAACAAATTAAAACCAAATAAAATGATTTTGGCAGCTATTCCAATAATATCGATTGGTAAATGGGTACCTGGTAGGAATTTATTCCTTGAAATGCTAAAGCGCCATATGGCATCCGTGCTAAAGTCAGGGTAATAATCGGGAGCGCCAGGAGGGTCAAATCTGACTGACATGAGCGCTATTTACCGTTTGAGACATTTTCCAAGACATATTTTAGTTATGTTATATTATGCATTGATTTTCTCCCATGTCAATTATTGTAATATTGCTTGGTCAAACAATCATGATTATTTTATTACTAAACTATTTGTTTTGCAGAAAAAAGCCATAAGAATAATTTCTAATTCACCATATCATGCTCATACTTTGCCAATCTTTTCCCAGTTAAATCTCCTAAATGTTTATGACATTAATAGATTGAATATTGCAATACTTATGTTTATGTGTTCTAGAGGCTTATTACCATCTCCAATTACATCAAAATTTATTTTAAATAGTAACATACATAATTATAATACACGTAATGCTGTTGAATACCATCTGCCAAAAGTTAGAACTAATATTTCAAAGTTTTTATAAAGGTCCTCATCTATGGAGCACGGTTCCAAACCATCTAAAGAATCAACCTTCCCTAAATAGTTTTTAAACGTTCCTTCCGATTGTTTTTATCAAATTTGTACTCAACAACCTGAATATCATAGTATATATATATATATGTTATTTTTTTTGTATAATGTTTTCCTTTTCCGTTTTACTGTTTCTACCTGCTTTCTTTTTCTTCTTAATGTTATGTTAATTACGTACTTGTTAAGGGGTCAACGTTTAACAAGGCTAAATGCTCTTTTTTGTTGACCCCTCATTCGACATAAATTTTCTTTCTTAAGTAGTTTCCTTGTTATTTTTATTGTATTCATATTATCTGTAATGTTACCCTTCTACATGTATTTATATATTTCTCTTTTTTTTTAATACTCTGTATGTATTGTATATGTTTTTTATGAAGAATGAAATAAATACCATACCATACCATACAAGAACCCATTATTATTATTATTATTATTTCTGTTTTTATAATAAAACCTTTCTATAAAGGTCTTACAAAGGAAACAGACAGTTTGCCTCTGTAGGCGTTTATAGATAGGTTCTACACTTGACAAAACCTGAGTGGAGATGGATGTGTTCTTAATGTCAATGACTTCGGGAGGTTCAATACCCTCTTCCGATCTTATTATGAGCAACTTAAATCTGCATTTACCAATATGTCCGCCAAAGACTTTAAAGACACTTTTTGGTTTTGGTTTTGTTGATTCTGTTTTCTCTCTTTTTTTTCGTAATACCTGCCTTAATGAAAACATCCCTCCCAATGTATCGGTGTCATTCAACTAATAAAAGGCTAGTACACTTTTAAACGATAATGAAAATTGATTTATGCCTTTATAAAGTCCATTAAAAATTGGCAAATATATCTATCTTCATCTTTCAAAAATCCGCAGGCAAAGAAGTAATAACTATAAAACTCTTTAAAGTCAGTTATTGGTGTCACTGACACAATGCAAGCTGTTAAACAAATTGTTTTAAATGTTTATCATTTGTCTAGAAAGAAAAGAAAATGAAATTCCGTTGGTACTTCGCGAGGAAGGCATAAAAGATAAGGGACAAATCTGGAAGTTCTAGATAAAACTGTCTTCAGAGTACTACATTTATCATTTCCCCCGTTTGTTTCTGCAGTCGCCATTCTTGGTCAAGTATTTCAGACACGAAACCTTCATATTTTAAAATGGCCAACCCTGCATTCTGTGCTGAAGTAAAGCGAGTTCAGTGTAACACTAGCAATTACATGTGTGTATTTGTGTTTATGCTGTTATTCTCGTTTGTGGAACCGGAAGGAGAGCAGTGTCCAACATCATGTAAATGTTCATCTGCCTATGTCAACTGTCACAATCAACTACGTACCGAGGTTCCGACTGCCAACATATCTCTTGAAATTAGGGGAATCGATCTATCTAGAAATAACATTCGTATGATCCAGACGGAATCCTTTCCAAACCTGACCAGCCTACAAAGATTGAACCTAAACCGCAACGCCATATCTATTATTGAACCACATGCATTTCAGCACATGTCGGCTCTTACCATGTTGTACCTGTCTAACAACCTTCTGACTGACCTGAGTTTTATGAGCCTTCTCCCGAAGATCTCCTTGATCGCGGCATCAAATTTAATCCAGTCATTGGTTATCAAGGATTCTCCCTTTGTGGGTTTCGATTCCCTTGACCTATCCCTCAATTTCATAAGATCTTTTGTAGACAGTCGTGTTGTCATCACGGATCTATCTGCCGATTCATGCGGGATCAGGGTTTTTGACATACCAGAATCCCAGACAGCGTATACTGTGCGTACGATCACCATGAGAAACAACTTCATCAGGTCTCTACCAGATCTAAGTGGTCTCCCCCGCCTTGAGCTTCTAGATCTGCAAAACAACCTCATCCAAAGAGCTGCCCATGTTATACCACAAAAGCTCAAATCTCTGTCACTTGACAACAACCCACCCAGCTCTCTTCCGAAGATCAGGCTTGGCAAAAGCCTCACAGTGCTCAAGATAGGTAGAAATCGCATTGAGTCACTTGTTGGGTTTGGTGACACTGACGCATTAGAGATCCTTGACTTGAGTAACAATTCCTTACAAGACGTATCCCACATGCCTATAATGGACGGACTTAAATACGTAATGCTTTCCCATTGCGATATTCATGGTACACTAGAAGTTAACAAGACAATATTCCCAAGCCTCGTATATCTTAACGTTGCGTACAATGATATTACAAATATTTCCGTACTAGAAACAGCGCGTCCGGATGGGGTGGGTCTAAACTATGCTGTCATCGATTCTGTCTTCGCTTTAAGACTGAATGGGAATAAACTCAGTGATCTTAATTTTCTCAAATCTTTTCCAAATATAAGAACCCTTGAAATGAATGAGAACGATGTGTTGGCATTCAACCGACACAACCCCACATTATTTCAACAACTGCAGTTGGTTACTGTATATCTTCAACATAATAAGATATCTGAGGTGGAACGATTCCGGAATATTACTGACTTGCAAACTGTTTCACTTTCCGATAACTACATTGCTTACGTTAGTCCAACTGCTTTCCTGGGGTGTAATAATTTAAGAATACTTAAGATGAATAATAACAGATTAATTATATTGCCAGCTTTATCGCAATTTTTAAATTTGATAATTCTCGAATTGAGAAATAATAAAATACAAGAAGTTTTTCTTAATGATCTGGAGTTCAAATTCTTAACTTCAATTGATCTTTCTAGTAATGGGCTGACTAACATTACATTGAACGGCAGTCTGGCTCTTACCGAGGTCCTGCTGCACAACAACAATTTGTCAAAGTTTGACATGTTGAATAATTTACCAAGATTATCTATTGTGGATACGAGTTACAACCAGATATCCAACGTGAATACTCGCGAGTTTAATTCGAACACAGCAATAACATGTGTATTTGATGGAAATTTGTTGCCAGTTTTAGTTTTACCGTATACATCCACCGTTCGATTTCTTTATGCCCGAAAAAATAGAATCAAAAACTTAACGAAAATTGTCCCTTCTGCGCAACATTCCGTGGCAAACGCTACTACTGACCACTTGGCGTGTAGGATAAAGAACTTATATCTCGATTCGAATTTGATTTCATACCTACCCTCGTTCATATTCGAAGGTTGTGATCAGCTCACGACCCTCTCCTTGTCTGATAATCCTATCAGTGTAGTTGAGATGAGCGTATTCCTGAATCTCCCTCAACTTGTATCACTGGCAATATCGCACACACTGATTCATTACATGCCCTTTGAACAATTGCTCTCCCAAAGTAGGAACATGTTTCATTCGCTGTACATGGATAATGTGACCCTCTTCCATCGACGTGATGCCAGCAACGAACCACTTAATCTCACGTTGGCAATTGACAGGGAACTATTCCTACGATACAACTCCTTTATCACCATTCCATTAATTAAAGCGATGCATGTTGCGGAACTAGATCTGTCATTTAATAACATCAACCTACTGGAGCGAGATTCTTTCAAGTTGACACCAAGAATCTCGTATTTAAATCTCAAGGGTAATGCCATTACAAGCATACAAATGCATGCACTGAGATTCAACGTGCACCTTGTCTTGGTAAACCTCGAGGACAATCACCTTCAGGTCATCGGCCATGAAGCACTTGTGAAGATGGGCCACTTTGAACTCCTGCTCGGTAACAATGACCTTGTCAATATCTCACCCCTGACCCTGCCAGAAGTCTCTCGTTCCATCTCTTTCGATCCCAATCCTTGGCGCTGTGACTGTTCCCTGCGTCCATTGTACAGATGGTACATGCGATCCAACGAAAACACGTTGACCTGTTGGACACCAATACATCTTCGAGGAAGGACCCTTGCCACACTGACGGATGAGGAGCTATGTCCGCTGATCAGGAACGTCAGCAACGAAAATGATATTTCTGGTGAAGTAGCGCCAGATATTGTAAGCAATGGGGTAAAGAAACTAGAGTTAAAGAAAAGTATTCAAATCCTTGCAGGGGTGCTGTTTATTTCGAGATTCCCTGGGCCGCGATTCGTGCAAGGTTGATCCTTCTAAAACCTACCAGTGATACAAATATGACGGTTAATGGAATTCAAGAAACAAGCCTCATTGAAAATGTTAAAGTCTTCTTGTATCTCGGTATCGTGTGCTATCTTTAACCTTCAAGGTAGAGTATGTCGTAGGGAAAGGGTGCATGTGAAAATAATTTTCAAGATACAAATACAAAAACTCAGTTCTTGATCTAGCTGCTGCAGCCTCTCGTGAAAAAAATGGTTTACTAACATATTCAAACTTGATGCATACTTTTTAACAAATGTTGTTCTTGACAATGAATTTTTCAGTAGAAAATATGTAGTTTAGTGGTGGGGAAAATGGAAATAATAATTGTTATAATAATAGGCATTTCTATAGCGCCGTCTATCTAGAAATTCTATTTCGAGGCGCATTTATTACTACCCCGGCGTTAGCCTTGCTGCCGTATACAGTGCTCCAGCAGTTTTAAGGAATTAATTCCTGCCAGGTACCCATTTACATCACCTGGGTTGAGTGTGGCAAATGTAAATCAATGTAAATAATAACATGTACATTGATGTAGCCTTTTAGCTTTTTTTTTAATGTCGTTAATGTTTATAAATGTTATTGAGTACTCTTCATCTAAATTAATTGTGAAAGAAAACTTGTGGCACTTATTGGGAAAGATTGATTAAGTAGTACAGTAAGAATTGATGTAAACTGTTTTAAGATTTAGCTAAATAAATTGAAAGAAATTGAAGTCACATGTACTGCACACTGAAATGAATATAGAGACCTATATACATGTCTCAAGAAAGTTTGCTCACAATTTTTATTCCATTTCTTATCATAATTATTTGAGATATGAGGGTATTTTATGAGTAATCCTTTTCATGGATTGTTTCTTCTAGTGTATGCCTTTCCAACATGAGAAGAAAGAGAAAGTTCACAACTTATTTTATTAATTGCCAAAGCCATGGACCTATTACGTTTTTTGTAAATAATTTCAGGTAATAAAATTGGTCTCCTTCTGAACTATACTAGGCTGATTATTTATCTCTTTTTTCTTAAATCCGAACCGAACTGCAGTTGAATTGTTGTTGACTCGCACCAAGGTTATTGATACGGTTGTAATCCATATAGATGTTGCGTCTTCGCTACTTTTTTTTATTCATCAAGCATCGTTCGTTTATCCATGCACGGCAATTTGAAATAATCTTAAATACAAAAAACCAATACAAAGAAAAAAATGTAATTGGATTTTAAATGCATATATTATGTAGGGTAGGTGTAGTGAATTGGAGACCGTAGTGAATGGGAGACCACCAAGCTTGAACCCATCACTGTCTGTCTGTGTTGGCTCCAATATTGCTATAGCGCCATATGTGGCCGTTAACACTTATACTACTGCATATATCCAATTCATTTCGAAGACTACAATGCGTTCTTTCTCCGAGAAAATTGGCAAAATTGACCAAGATGAGCAATGTTGATCTTATATAAAAACACAATTTCACTGAATGTTGTGGTGTATGCAGAAATTTAGGGGGGCTCTTAAAATTAGTTTTAAAAGGAAGTTTATGAAGTGTGCCAACCATCACAGAAAACTTATGGCCATGGTGTGTTGTGATTGGGTGTTGCAATACACATTATGAATGGTATCTGATCAGAAACGTGTGTAGGCAATCGTGGACATCAGGTCCAAGATGGGGACCTACTTTCCACCAGTTGTTCATTTCATGTTGAAACATATTTGGTTGTTCGTGTCACCATTCTAATTTGAATGCATTTCATTTTAAGAAGTTGCTTCTATGCTGTAAGTTTGTTCAATGTAAAAGTCACATTGCCAGAACATTATTCTGAAAGTATTTAAACATAATTTAAAGCACCTTTATTACTGTAAACAAAAAACTACAGAAATATATTTTTTAATTGTTTTAAAATTACAGTAAGTTCATTTGCTGCATGTATCTCTTTCAAAAAGTGTTTGAACTAATTATAACAATTCCATTTTCATTCAAAATATATTTAAAATGTCTTGATTTGTAACTATCCCTTAATACCTACACATGTAGGTAATGAGAGACTTTTGGTGACGGCGTCATTAATCATTGATATCTTATTAATCAGTTACATGATGACCACAATTTTGTTGCCAAATAAAAAGAAGACGTTACTGAAGAGAATACAAATCTTTCTGTATGTGTAACATTTTTCATGTTTATGTAATTTATGCAAATGTGCTTAAAGATGAAATTGAGCTCTGGTCATGCGATTGCATTGCGAAAGAAACGGTGTGGAACCGACCAGAAAAGGTTGATCATCTAACATATAAGAATTTGTGTGTATTGCAAGGTTCTTGAATCATCAAAATGATAAGAAATTTGGCCAAGTCTTGGTAAAGTTACAAACACTGTACACAGAAAGATGTATATGGGACTACACGAACACGTGGCGTAAAAAGCCGGCCCCCCGATTTTTACGATGATACATGCATATTTAGAATATGAAGGCATTTGAAGAGCCATGCTTTTCAGGGAACATGTCTTATCTGATGTTCTTCCACACTTGCATAATAAGAATGAGTAATGCTCACAAATTATTTTTCACCTCTTCCCAGAACTCAACCTTCTCTTTAAGGGTCTCTAATTTCCAACACCTACCCTATTATGATGATGATATAATTGGAGCTGATTGATATTTAATGTTGTTTCATTTGATATAGGCCTAATTAAGTTATTTCATAGCTTCATTACTTTAAAATATTTTGTGTGCTTTATCATATATAATATGTCTAGTAATAAAGGTGATATAAGTTTTGAAAATATAACATGTTCATATGAAGAAAATGTTACATAGCGGTTGTAGTTTTGTTTTTATATATACTTATGCTAGTGTCAACATCGTCGTTGAATATATTATAGCGTAGTAAATTAAAAAAATAATTATTACAAATATCTTGTTTTTATAGAGATATACCATATGACTTAGTAAGGTGTTGATGGTATTGTCTTTCATAAATTGTAGGATACAGGATTTTCTGGTTTTCTGATTGCTTGACTCACTATATAAAGGATGAAATAGATACCAAGATATTAAAGTGTTATTGCATGTTTTTTTATTTTTTGAAAAGCTTCTACACTGTTGCTCATAACGGTGGAATATTTTTTTTTATCCCAATTCATGGAATTATTTTAAAAATAATTTAAAAATACTAGATCTAGATAATAGTATACAGTCTCAGATTTTATTGAATAATAATTTGCCAATATGTGTTTTGCGTGACTGCTAAAGCATGTATATTATGGTACTATGTTTATTAACTAGGGGACCTATGCCCTTAAGTCATAAATGACGGTAATGAGGATTAATGCCTCACAAAAGGGCACTAATATAGCACATCGACACGGTGTTGATCCTGGGGCCTCACAGTTACGAGGCCATTGCTTTGTCACTGAACCATGACTGTACGCAGCGGGGGCTATGGTAGGGGGCAGTTTCCATAAATTAAAAAAAAAACAGAAAATGCAATAAATTTTCAATAATTTATTGCATTCTACCCCGGTCCCCAAAATAAAAAAATCTTCTGTGTGCCCATGCCTTGAGCCATAATGCATGGCCGTCCAGAGGATTTTTCTATGTTGGGGACCGGGATAGAATGCAATAAATTATTGAAAATTTATTGCATTTTCTGTTTTTTTTTTAATTTATGGAAACTGCCCCCTACCATAGCCCCCGCTGCGTACAGTCACGGTTCAGTGACAAAGCAATGGCCTCGTAACTGTGAGGCCCCAGGATCAACACCGTGTCGATGTGCTATATCAGAGCCCTTTTGTGAGGCATTAATCCTCATTACTGTCCTTTATGACTTAAGGGCATAGGTCCCCTAGTTGATAAACATAGTAGCATAATATACATGCTTTAGCAGTCACGCAAAACACATATTGGCAAATTATTTTTCAATAAAATCTGAGACTGTATACTATTATCTAGATCTAGTATTTTTAAATTATTTTTTAAATAATTCCATAAATTGGGATAAAAAAAAATATTCCACCGTTATGAGCAACAGTGTATGAGGGAAAATGGTCTGTATCCAAATCTCGTTAAAGCGGGACTGCACTACTTGTAGCTACTTGCGCCTTCTATATAGCAAATAATGCCCAATTGGTGACCGCTGGTCCCCAATCATGATGATCTCCCTTTTCTTATTTTAATTGAGAGCTGATTTGATGAAATAACCACCTGTCAGTGACCATGCTGGATGGTTTAATCCCTCCTGGCCAAACTAGTGCAGACGGGATTTAAAGAGAAGATTGATTTCTGGTAAAGGAAAGAAATTATTTATTGTCTCTCTCGTTCTATGTATGTCGGTTTGGAGGAATATTATAGTAATATATCTCATAAAAATGATTGCTCTGAAATTGCTCCATCATTCGAAATAGAACTAGAAATAGCTGTATTTTCCATATACCTATTTCTTTGTGGAGTGTGTTCGACGGTCATTTAAATGTAGTCACTTGTTTTCACTTTGATTATTCCAAAACTTACACAGGACACAGTCTTATGTCAAACATAATTTTTTTGCAATGTAACTGTATGACTATAGTACTCACCTATATCTTTAAAATAGCTGAAGCAATGTGAAATATCATATTTCATGATGAATAGAATCACCATTAAAAATATTCTGTAAGAGTGGTGCGTGTGCGTATGAATACATTTCAAGAAGTGGGTCTAAAAACTATTTAAATGATATCATTAAAGGTAGCAGGTAAAAGGACAAAGACAAAATTCATAATGTTTACAGACTCGTTATCAGAGAGATTTGTATGGTCGATATCATCAATTAACTAAAATACAAAATATTGAAAAAACGTCCGTTTCCATAGTAATAACAGGTTGTGCTGTAATATCAACTGACTGGAAGAATAGATGATTACGGATGAATATTGTGCTCTCACGATTTCAATGAATTACACTTATCTAAATACTAATCATTCATTTCTCGTATGGGTTCTGGTGTTGGTGCG